TCAGTGTGCAATGTTTCTGAGCGTAAGGATTTCTATCGGATGATGGATTAAAAAAAAGTAAGTGAAAAATATACGTGATGTTTACTATTCACACCTTACAGTACTGGAGTTAAGTTTCCAGTTTTGCTCATTTTAAACAATTTCATTTTAGCAGGAAACGATCAATGATGCATTTTTTGCTGCATCTGTTTTTATCTGTCATGTGACTCAAACCAGGTAAATGAGCTTGAAAGAGCACCTCTAATGGTTTCTAACCCTAACCACGTGACCAAAAGTTCAGATTAGCGTTAGCCATTCTAATCTTTCTGATAAGGACTTTGCATTACTCTGAAGGGAACTTTTCATCTTAGATCTTTTACTCCATATCCAAACTGCTGAGTCGATAAAGCACCAAGACTCACGAATACTGGATTACATTTCTGCTCAAAACAGCTTGTTCAGCCAACATGTTCCAATCATTGCTGATGGTCCTGATGCTCACATTTTACAAATGTCTAAACTGGTGATGCTTTCTGTTTCAGAGAAATATTCTCTTTCAACCTGCTTTTAAGTGAGCGTGTGACTTTCCTATGAAATGAACTAAGCGGGCAAACAGTTTGTTTTAACCGAACAGGTGAGGTGTGAATGCACCCAAAGACTCAAAAAGCTCAGTTTCTCCACTGCACTATTCGGTGTCCGGTCGTGAAACAGCGTGGTTGCACTTAGCAGAAGTGTCAGACATAAATATTAGGGTTCTATTGACCTTGCATGTTCTCAAAGAAATGCAGAAATGCACGAACAAATGTCCACTCTTCAAGCTGCTGTTGCTGCTGCACAAGGCCATAAAGACGACACCGTAGCGCCAGACGGAGAGACTGACTAATTAAAACTTTGACACCAAATCACATTCCTCGCTGCTTCAACCAAACACATCTCCATCTCCAGCGTGCTCTGCCAGCAGATCTATTGTCAGCGGGGATTAAAAACTGTCTCATTTCCCCCTGGGCTGACAGTCCCTCCCTGTGTTCTTCCCCAGAGAAGACATGTCAGCATTATTAAGAGACCGCACAGTCTTAATTACTGCCTGTCAGAGTCTCCTGTTTCCTTTTTTAAGTCAGATTTGTCAAGTTATTGTATTTTTCATAGTATCTATCATCGATCGTCCATCTATCTAGCAAAGGTAGAAGTGGTGTGACTTTGTTAAACGACTGCAAAAAGTGCAACACACCTGCCATGTCATGTAGCATTGCATCTTTTACAGTAACGCACACCAGATGCACCGAAAGGACAAAAGTAGTGATGAAGTTACTAAAGCCTGGACGTGATGAATTTAGAGCTTCAATGGCAGCGTATCCTGACTCTTATGTCTACGAGCCATGTCCCGACGGATTTGTCCAAATCTCAAGGCACCGCCTCCACCACTTCTCGCTTGTCACTGCGGACATGTCACTACTCCCATGCAGCAACTATGTAATCCGATGAGTCTAAGAGTCACGAACATATAAGAGCAGCCTGATCTCTTAAAAATTAGGTTCCCATACATCAAAACTACTTTGTCCATTATGTTTCGGGGGAAACGTGATTCCTCCTAGATTATGTTTGTTCATCACAAAGTTTATAATCACAAGTGTGTTGTGAATTTAACTCTTCTTGTCCGCAGACAATAATCCACCTTCGTGGAGGCTAAAGTTCCTGACCTTCTACTGTGTGCCGTTTTTTTCCAAGCAAATTTCTCCAAATTTGAATATAAATTATTTTCAACTTTACCACAAACTAAGCTCTAAATTGTAACCCTAATCAAGTAGCTTTTGTTGACTAAACTTAAGCAAATCTTAATTCTACCATGCTGTGTGTGGCAGATCAGAAATTGTGAATCCTTCTTGTAATGGACGTATGGGTCTGTTTGGGAGACACCGACACCTTGGAGTTGTTGGAGCATCGACACTATTCAATAATTCACATGACACAACACAATTTTCATATAGAACTTTTAATGAATATATCTATATATTTATATACTTATATTTTTTTGTCTTTTCCAGCGAGGATCAGAATATTGTATTGCTTCCCCTTTTCCTTAGTGTCCTTTACATGGATCGGCCTGCTGAGTTTCAGGTTTGACTCCCGTCAGTAGCCGAAGTGTTGGGAAGAGGAGCTGGGGACTCACGCTGGATTTAAAATGGCTTTCACACCAGGATATGAACTGAAAACGAAGGAAGAAGAACGTCCGCTGTTGACCATGTTCTCACAAACACTAAAGTAAAATATAAGTTCAGGACTCGTTTAGTGATTTTTAGAACAATTCACATATTCCTCAGAAGCATGAGGCTGATGTACTTTGTTGTACTTATTACCATGTAAAAATCACCGACAACACCAACACACACCACATTTAGCGCACTCTCCCAGCCAGGGCTGAACCGGCCATCTGGCAGACCGCTGGTCCGACGTGACATTTGGGCCTCACGAGTTTTTAGTTTTTCTAAATGATTGCGAATGGTTTGTGACGATGATGTAGAAAAGTGCTGAAATCTGTCCGTACGAGTCCCGCCCCTTCGTGCTCAGAATGAACGTGAGTGTACGCTCAGTTGAGAAGTTGCGTCCTGCCGAATACAGAGCGGAGGGTCGTCTTCGGTATTTGACAATTGTTAGCAAAATAATTGATGACAAAACACCTGAAGAAATGCATTGATTGCACAGACAGGAGACTCATTAGTCTGGCTACTTAGGAAAACGCCGGTGCAGCAACTTGAAGATTGCGCAGTAAGCATTAATAAGTCCACTGCATTTTCCATTTATGCCACACACGTTTATGGGCTTAAAGAACGAACGAGTGACGGAATTATCTTTATCTATTAACCATGCATGTCTTGATAAACATAACAGAGTATTCAATTTTGCAGCCAGGTACCCTCTCTCTTAATCTTCCTTAATTCTCTCTCACTCATCACTTGGTTTTAATGTGTTTAGGGAGTGGCCTGGTTGGTATGTAGGGGAGCTCATAGAGTGTTTGTGGCCGGCCAGTCTGGGCCAAAGTGGCAGCTGTGACTATTTTTTGTGCCAGTCCAGCCCTGCTCCCAGCACTTAGGCTACTGACAACATGTCCCAAGCAGGCGTGACGCCTTTATAGCCCAAAGATACAGGTGTAGGAACTCTGAAACAATATAACATTAAGAATATCTATACATACCACCACAAAAATAAATAGATTAATATAAATTCTATCACCAACAAGTATACACTAATCAGACCATTAAAAAACACTGATTATTAGGCTACGTTGGTAATGTTTAGAAGACAAATAAATGTCTGCATGGAAATGAAGACACACTGGTTCAGACTGCAGCAACAACAAACAAAATAAAATAAAAACTAGAAAAAAGCACAAATTAAAGTGCAATTATAGATAGAAATAGAATAAAAGATTTAAGAAAAATAATATTTGGGATGAAGAAAAAAATAAAGATGAAGAAATAATTAGTAAAAAAAAATGTCCAAAAAGTCTACAAGGCTGCCCATTGGAACAACAAAGAAATAGGAAATAAACTGACAAACGCTATCAATGTGCCCTTGAGCAAGGCAGGTAGCCCCCAGTGGCTCCAGTGTAGTTTCACTGGGAGGCTGCCAGCTTGAATGTGGAAGCAAAAGGTGAAGCAGGGTGTTGCTGAAAAGCAGCATGCACGCTCAGTCAACCCTCCCTGTACGAATGAACGTAATGACATGATGAACATGACCTAAAGATGGGTTAACACATTATCACCCTCTCACGTATGTGCACATGCGTTCCACATGACACCACTGACAGTGTACATAAGCAAGAGAAAGAAAATCAAAAAGTCCTTGAAAGGAATATAAAAAAATTACAAAAAGAAAAAGATTTCAAAAATGTATAAATACCCTGCAATAACCATTACGATCATAGAAACACCAGCAACATGATATTAATACTCAAGGAGTTACAATCTCATGTAACCTGATTATCAATCACTCAGAATGAAAAGACAGCCCAGATATTACCATTTACAGACATTATGTGCTTTTGTAGAAGTAAATGGATTGATAATATACTCAATAATACATTTATTATTCTAGTTTGTGAAATAGTATATAGTTATAGCTCAAAGAGAGACGGAGGGGAGGGGAACTGTTAGCCGATGATCCAGAAGTGGATTCAAGAGTTCAGTCCAATAGTCAGATTTAGGACGCGTGAAGAGTTTCAATCCGAAAAGTTGCGCAGGTCATCCGAGACAGAAATTTGTTTCTCTCCTTGAAATGTTGTTGCCACAGCCTCAAAAATATGAACTTCGCTCAAAATGCTCAAATCTTATTACATAATCCATGATGTGCTTCACTTTTGTATTTTATTTTTTAGCCTTTACATACCGGTGGGTGTTTTTTCTTAAGTTGCGATAATTTTGCACGTTAATATTTTTCCCAACTGTTGTTTTTGTCACGATTACTTTTGCACAGAACTCGAATAATTACGTGACGTAAAAGTGAAATAATTTTCTTCGGAACAATGTCGATTTTTCTGAGCTTTTGCACCGCAAATAGAAGCGTCAACCGATCATGTTGTGTGGAGCCGGGTGAGTTGTGCCTATATTTATGAACCAACGACATAGAAGCTCCATAGTCTGAGCCAAGACGTCTAACTTGTATTATTCCTTTCATTCTTGACAAAGGCGGTGCAGACCAGATCCACTCTTTTCGTTTTTTACCTTTCACAATAAAACGAGTGTTTCACATTTTCGTGTTGTTTATTCGTCATGCCATCGCTGTGCAAAGGTCGTAAGTCAGGAATGATAAAATGGTTGATATATCATACTGAAGTAACTCGATTTAAATGTCTAGCTTTTGATTCTAACTCTACCTAAACCCCCCCCCACTCCCCCCCCGCCCGACGAAACAAAAAC